ATCCTTCTTATAGACGGGGGGGGGGGGGGGGTGATGCCTTGTTTGTGCCTATATCAACTTAACTCTAATATACAATTTGTCTCCGTTATTCAGTTTGCCCTCTATTTGTACCCGCATTTCAAATAGGCTTGCGTGTCCAAGGATATTTTGACCAAAGAGAATTATGTCCTCTAAATCCTCATTCATCTCGGGTCATCTGAAATTCGTTGGGTGCTGAGAGCCTCGGGCAGCTTCAAAGGCCTGAAAATTGGGGTAACCAAAATAAGAGGAAATAAGCTGTACAGATAATTTATGATAATCCAGTCTTTAACCGTGTAAGGCGAGTCGTCAATGCAATTTTCAAACACGGCTAACTACTGATACACATAGCTAAAATTTGACGGTAAACTGTGAACAATTCCCGTTTTTGTGACCGAGGTACGATCGACCTCTGAAAATGGTGAACCATGGTCTTTACTAGACGACACTCCATACATAACAAATATAAATACAAATACAAGTACAAGTATACATTTGGAAATGCTTTGTATTCTTTCAGAAACATGGAAACAATAGGACAATGGCAACAAACTTTTCCCTCAGTATTTTATGTGCGATAAGTAAAGGAAAGCTAACGGAAATAATTATGAAATTTACACTTCATCAAACAGCGCCTTGTCTCTCATTTCATAACAACTGTATGAGGCATAAACTGCTTTTTTTGCATCTTATAATTTACATTCGCAAGTTGAAAATTGGACTAATATTCTCTCAGAAATTCATTCCTGATTATACTTTTCAAATTGGTTCATTATCGACTTGCATCTTTCTCGTAAAAGCTCAATGTTCCATGCAAATTTGGCGTTCATTAAGGCCTATTCTACTATTCTAACTTAGTTGATAGAGATCATTATAAATTTATGATAGAAAACCTAGTCCGTGTTAAAGTGCGACATTCTAAAACCAACTGTTATCATGTGTTTTTAACCTAAACTTTCACATGGGAGGGAGGGAGGAGGGGAGTGGCAGGCTGGTTTGCCGAAAATTTTTAAGGGTTAAGATTGCCCGAGGTTTTTAGGTCTTTTACGCCTGTGTCGAGGACCAAAGCTACAAAGAACTGAACGGTAACACAATGACAATTTTCACATCAAAATGAGGCCGTGACCCAATAGCTCACAGCGTAAATACGCCACTGTCCATTATGATCTATTCCTCCCTGCCATTAAATTAGGTTAATGTTGTTTTCTTTCAGCTGCTGGATGCCGGTGACTGATACTCACTATGACTATATTCTTCATGCACCGATTTTCTTTGTGCTAGTGGTAGGTCATACCTGACTTTCTTTCCGGGTTTAGTCTAATACTGTACAAAAAAGTGGCTAGTCATGCTACAGAAACCGATGCCTTGTACGTTACCGACTTTACACGTTAAAAATCATCGACAGTACAGTTGGCAATCGAAAATACTAGGCTATTGCCATAAAGCTAAAATTTTCACAAAGTCAAGCTATTAACTCGGACTTGATTTATTCCCTTGAAATCCTACCTGAAATTGGTTAGCTGATACACCAGGAGTTTATTTATTTTTTCACTGTGAAATCCCAGATCTAGAGATATACTGTGACCTGATTGGTTTATGCAACTGAATTTAAAATAAGTTTTAGCGAATGACTAGTTTGACAATTATGCCTACTTTTGGGATGTCGACATAGCTAATATTGTTTATTTCTTAAGCTTATTGGTAGCCTTATTCCTGTTTGTTTTTCAGAGTAATATATTTTTTTTATCGGCCATAATCTGGGTTTTGATCACCAAGTTGAAAGCATCTCACAATCTGGAGACCAGACAATATAGGTAAGAATATTTCACAGTCATCCCGTCACTTCTGCCCGGAAAGCTATAAGACTCTTAAAGTGCCGTGCGTTGAATAACTTGCTTGTACAGGAGAATTACTGGCGCCACAAATTGGAATTTCAAGGTTGATGCCAAGACGTCCATGAAAAATATCCTCTCTTTATTTGAGCATTTTTAAAAGGTGGGAAAAAAATATATTTCTGAAAAGAAATAATGAGGTTTCATGATGTAGTCAGTATCACTTTTAGAATGAATATAAAACGTTTGTTTTGTCTACAATCAAATGAACAATCGGAGGTGAATATTGTCTGAACTGTAACAGTAATAGCAATATCTTAACAATGATGTTACTAACGTCATCGTCATTCTGCGGGGGTTGGATTTATTTGTAGACGAAACAGGTGTCGAAGTTTCATTCTGAAAGGTCTTATGAACTTAAGTAACCACTTAGCCTTATCACCTTCTCGACGAGGTCGAGACAGGATGACAACCAATTCGGCACGAGGACGTGGCCACAATGTCTCCTAGAGGATTTATGTAGGTTGCGACGTCTCCGTCAGCACGCACTAGTCACCAGCGGTTGAAGCAGACACATCACGGAGATGCCGCTGCCACGTCGTTGAGACGCAGCTGCCACATTGCTGCAACGTCTCATCAGTCTCCAACAACAGGTCTCACGGAGACTTCGTAGAGCCGTCGGGAACAAATCGGGGATACATTTCTCTCTTGCAGACAAACTTAGACTCCGCGACGTTTCCACAACTGAATGAGACGTCGCGGAGACCTATCGTGAGACTGAAATAATTTTCGAACAGGTCATCAGTGGCGTTTGTAGCAAACATTAGTTGAGGGGGCCTCACTATATAAATTGATAGAAAGTAGAAACGCCACTGAACGTCGCGGAGACGTCTCCGTAACTAGCAACGACTCGAGTCTCCTACTGGTCACCAACTAGACTAGACTAGTGAGATTGGCTCTTAACCTAGGCCCCGTGTGCTACACACAGACTGTGCGCGTTAAAGATCCATCGTCGTTTGGACATCGAACAAGTAGATTAATGCCGCTTTCCTGGTAAAATTTCTTTCATTGTATGGCTTTGCCCGTCTGCATTAGCCAAATTAAATGCAGAAAAGTAGGACGCAAAACTCCTTCATTTCATTTTATTTTTCTGAATGTTCTGATGTTCAAAAAAAAAGAAGTCCTACAGTCGAAAAACTCTTCAAAGTCATCCAATTAGTTTAGACAAGGGAAGAGTTATGGTTCTTGATTAGCACATATATTTAGATAAACTGTTCAATGTATTAAAAAGTTTATACGTTAAAAAAAGTATTTGCTATAATACATCAAGAAATGTTTATTTTTTTTATCGCTTGGTACAATTTATTTCGCAACTTCTTTTGATAATTGCTTTCATTTTATTTGAAATATATTTCTCCGTCCTTTTTAGAGAAGATCGTTCTGTGTTGAGCTTTTTTGGTCATAATTTAGAAATCTTTATTCTTAAATTTGTTGTAAGTTCACGTAGATTGATATATAATTTTCTTTGAAATAAATGAAACCAAATGGTGTTTTATTCTTAATCTTTCTGTTCCTAATTGGTCTAATAAACAGGACATCACCTTGAATGAAGGCAATTTTTCCAACGCAATAGCATTGAACTTCGAACATGCACAATCTGCAGCTTGGGTTTAACTTTTCAATATTAAAACCTGGGGCTCATGCGCACAGTTAGCGAATAGAATATTCTACTATGCGAAGACTCTCGGCTCAAAACAAATGTAGAAAAGATCTTCTCACGGTGCTGACTCGTGTTTAGGATAATAATCATCTTGTCGGAAATGATGGCTAATTTCCAATACTATGAATAAAAAAAGAGGAAAAAAAGCAAACTCATTGAAAAGAGGAGAGAAATCGACTACAAGAATATTCTTTTGTGAAAATTCTCGGATTATATATAATTGTTAAGAGCTCAGTTGTTGACACGTGTTTAGGATAAAGAAAGCTTCATCATGACAACACTATTGGAAATTGGGGCTAATTCTCGAGGTGTACGAGTAAAGTCAATTTAATTAAAATTGGATTATACAATTTCGTTTCGTTATTTATATATTTATTTATTTTTTTGTCGGTCTCCAGACCAAAAATAATAATGAAACGGAATTGTAATCTAATTTTAGTTAGATCGGCGTAAAGTAAGATCACTAAACTAAAGTATTTACACTTTGCGAAGACTTTCGGCTCATATCTAACAAGAGCTTTTCTCATGTTGCTGACCTGTTTCAGATAAAGAAATCCTCATTCAGTACATCTGGTTAAGAAATTTGTACTGACGATGGGTATGTTGTTCTTTTAGGAAGGCAGTTAAAGCTACCATCATCCTATTTCCACTACTAGGGGTGACCTATGTTTTATTTCTAATCCCACCCAGTGATGATCTAGTGGTTCAGTTGGTTTTCAAATACGCCAACGCACTCCTACAGTCTTTTCAGGTAAGATCCAATCTATGACATAGTAGCCTCTATCACCCATTCCATCTTTGTATATGTACACTGGAACTATATCATTGTCGTAGACACCTTCCCCTTTAGGTACGGGCCTGGCCAATTTCCTATTTTAAAACAGTCGACAAAATGATCATGGACTAATTGTCTTTTTAGGGACTGTTTGTAGCTGTATTTTACTGCTTCTTAAACGGAGAAGTAAGTATATTACTCTTTTACTATCAGTTGGTCTGGATGTATAAAGAAATATGTGCAACTGAGATTGCATTGAAACCGGTCAAATGATGGTTGACAAAAAATATGCAAAAATTGCAAAGAATTTTCGTTTTGTTTTGATTAATAACAAACAAGAAAATGAAACGAAGTTGTTATCAGTATCATAATCTTTGTCGAAATACGGTTAACATTTCTATCTGTTTTGTCTACAAGGATCTTCTGATATACGTATAAGATATACGAACAACCTTTAGCTGGTGCATCCCTCCTATTTATAGCACATATTAATTCGTAATATTTTTTTCCGCGTTTTCAGGTAAGAGCTGTATTAAGAAAAAAATTCTCAAATTTTCAAGAAAGTCGTAGTATTATCACTCGATATACAAAAACATCGTATGTCGGTTCGCCATACCGTTCTAGTTTCCATAACAACTCGACAACTACAGGCGTTAACGGCAAATCAACCAGTGCTCGTGGCGGGAAAAGATTTAGTGTAGACTCGCAACAGGACGAAGCGGAGAATATGCTGTGATGGACTCGATCCTTAACTGGTCTCTTAATCTTACCGTGTTACGACAGACAAGCAAAGACTCTAATATGTTAGTCTAAACTATGTTATGTCAGACATGTCAAATTTTGACAAGAAAGTGCCATTTGAAAATCGCTGTTATGTTTTTGATAAGATGTCACGTGTACAATGATCACATGACATATTACGTGTCTGGGCTATTGTCACATGACATATAAAGTGATATGGGAATGTTCGATTCTTAGTGCTGGAACAGCTCCTGATGGTGTTCTACCACAGTAGACATGTTAGCAAGTAGGTTAGACTCCTTTAGAATATTTAATTATGTAAATTGTGCTTAACAAGAGTTTTAGCCAATAGGAATTGGTGTTTTAAGATGCATTTAGATCATTACATTCCGTAATTTTAAAGTGAACTTTTAATTCATGAATGTGTTCCAACATCTTGGACTCCCATTTTGTACAAAATACGTCTCTGCAGTATCCAATATATTAAGTCTTTGTATTTATTCAAACCAGTCTCTGTATTTATTCAAACCAGTCTCTGTATTTATTACAGCCAGTTTCTGTTTTTAATCAAGCCAGTATCTGTATGTATTAAGACAAATCTCTGTATTTTTTCAAGCCAGCCTCTGTATTTTTTTTTATTTATTCATGTCAGTCTCTGCACTTATATATGTATGAAAAAAACAGTCTCTGTATTTATTTAAGTCAGTCTTTGTGTTTGTTACAGTGTGTCTTTGTATTTATTACAGTCAGTTTCTGTATTTATTATGTTCTATCTCTGTATTTATTCAAGCCAGCCCCTGTATTTATTGAAGCCAATATCTGCATTTTTTAGGCCGGTGTCTGTATTTAATAAACCAGTCTCTGTTTTTATTCAATCAATATTTATTAAAGACAGTATCTTATTTCAGCCAGCCTCTGTATTTATCTAACCCAGTCTCTTTATTAAAGGCAGTTTTTAATTTGTTAAAGCCAGTCACTATGTTTATTACAGCCAGTCTTTGTACTTTATTATAGTCAGTTTCTGTATTTTTTATGGTCTATCTCTGTATTTTTTCAAGCCAGCCTCTGTACTTTTTTTAAGCCGGTATCTGTTTTTATTTAAACTGTACTTATTAAATTCAATCTCTGTATTTATTCAAGCCAGTCTCAATATTTATTATATTCTGTTTTTTTAAAACCAGTCTCTTTTTTTTTTTATTCGAGCCAGTCTCAATATCTATTAAAGCCTTCTCTGTATTTAATTAAACCAGTATCTGTATTCATTAAAGCCAGTCTCTGTATTAATAAAAGTCAGTCTATGTATTTATTCAAGCCAGTCTCTGTATTTATTAAAACAAGTCTCTGTATTTATCAAAGCCCGTCTGTTATTTATCTAAGCCAGTCTCTATAGATATTAAAGTCAGTTTCTGTATTTATTTAAGTTATTTTCTGTATTTATTTAAACCAGTCTATGCATGTACTTAAAATAGTCTTTGTATTTATTAAAGCAAGTCTCTGTATCTATTTAGCCAATCTCTGTATCTATTAAAGACATTCTCTGTATTTACTAGCCCACGTGCTGCAGAAAAGTAGGACGTAAAACTTTATTCATTTCATTTGAGACCATTCTCTGCATTTATTAAAGCAAGTCTCTGTATTTATTTTTCAGTGCCTGTATCTTTTAAAGCCAGTCTCTGTATTTATATAAGCCAGCTTCTATAGGTTTTTAGCGAGTCTTTCTATTTGTTTAAGTCAGTCGCTGTATGATTTAAGTCTCTCTATTTAAAATAGTTCATTAAAGAAAGCATTAATAAAACTATTCTCTGTATTTATTAAAGCCAGTCTCTCTATTTATTAAAAACAGCCTATGTATTTATTTCAGCCAATGTATCTTTATGTATTAAAACCAGTCTATGTATTTATTAAAACCAGCCTATGTATTTATTAAAACCAGTCTATGTATTTTTTAAAACCAGTCTATGTATTTATTACAAGCCAGTCCAAGTAATTATTAATGTCAGCCTCAGCATGCATTAAGTCAGTCTCCATTTAAGATACCCTATGTATTTATTTCAGCCAGTCTCAGTTTTTATTTAAGCAAGCCACTGTATGCATTAAGTCAGTCTCCATTTAAGATACCCTATGTATTTATTTCAGCCAGTCCCAGTTTTTATTTAAGCAAGCCACAGTATACATTAAGTCAGTCTCCATTTAAAATAGCCTATGTGTTTAAAGAAAGCATTTATGTTTATGGAAATCTCTGCATTTTTTTTGAAGAAAACCCCTGTATCAATAAATCCGGTGTCTCTATTTAACAAATCTCGAAGGCTTTTGCATTTATATCGAAACCCCTTAATTTTCTGAATATGACTTCAAAGCCCCACAGTTCTCTGTATGTATTTCGAAGGCTTTTCGCAGATATGTCAAAGGCTTGGGGGTTTGTGCAGATATGGGTGGATGAAAGAGGGGAAGTAATGGCACTGGCGGAGGCAGGCTGACGTCCGAGGGGGGAGAGGGAGGGCATGTGCGAGGTTGGCGAATTTTGCCCGAATTCCTAACCTAGTTATGAGAGTCATGCCCCCTCTGGTAGTAGAGATAGTAGAGAGGGTGGAAGAGACAGTGGTAGTAGAAGGAGTGGAAGACACCGGGCGAGGTAGAGAGGTTAGAAGAGACAGGAGGAAGTAGAGGGCGTGGAATACACATGGGGAAGTAGAGAGTGGAAGACACAGAGGAAAATAGAGAGGTTGGAAGAGACAGGAGGAAGCCTAGTGAATAGATAGGATAGAAGAGACAGGAGGAAGTAAAGGGGGTGGAAGACATACGGGGAAGTAGAGAGGGTGGAGAAAGGGTGGAGAAAGTAGAGATTTTGGAAGAGACAGGGGGAAGCCGGGTGAATAGAGAGGATAGAAGAGACAGGGGAAAGTAGAGAGGTTCGAAGAGGCAGGGGAGGTAGGGAGGGTGGAAGATACAGTGGAAGTAGAGGGGATGGGAGAGGCATGGTAAATAGAGGGGATGGAAAATACAGTGTCGGTAGAGAGGGTGAAAGAGACAGGTTGAATAGAGAAAATGGAAGAGACAGTGGAAGTAGACAGGGTGGAAGTAGAGAGGATGCAAAAGCCAGGGTGAATAGAGAGCATGAAAAAGACAGTGGAACTAAAGAGGATGGAAGAGGCAGGCCGAATAGAGAGGATGTAAAAGACAGGGTGAATATAGAGAGGATGGAAAATACAGTGGGGATAGAGAGGATTGAAGAGACAGGAGAATTAAATAGGACGGAAGAGAAATGGGTAAAAGAAAGGCGGGAAAACATGCAAGATAAGATGCACGGTAGAGGCTTAGTAGGTAAACAATAAGAGGGAAAGATGACACGGAGAAGTATGGATAGACAGGTGGGCGGGGATGATAGTAGTAATTATTCGTATTGGACGTTTATCTTACTAAATTGAAGTCTACAATAAGAGGATCAAAATTCCATTTCATTACCCCAACAAGACATAACAGGGAAGAAGCCCATAAAATATTATTCAATAATTTGATCTGTGGTCTAAATAGAAAGGAATATTTTAAGTTTTCCCATAGTAATATTTTTTATCACCATCAAGAAAAATCAAGCCTTTAAGGTTATTGTCATCTGTAAGACTTATGATCTCTCATAAAGCTCGCGGTCTGAAAGTTACAAGCCACAATGCTGCACATAAAATATGATCACGACTCAAACAAATATCGCATCAATTGTCAGTTTAAATCTTCAGTGTAGTTTGATAATATTTTTTCATATAACAATAGTATATTTTTATAGTCTTATTTGTCTGAGCCGAAGTTACACAGGAATAAAAATCTAACGATTTGTTCATGGTGTCTGACTCTACCCTGCTTTTCATAAAGCATGAAATTTCTTATAGAGAAACGGCAAAACCAATGTTTAATGGCGGCCATTTTGAAATCCAACATGGCGGCCATAATCTTAATATGATCACGTGTATCCTGCTCTTATAATTATGAAAGAGCATATACAAATTAACTATTGTGCCAATTTTCATATTTTTGTCACAATCTGAACGATTCTTTTGCTAATTTCCTCTACTATACCAATTACCATGAATTAGGTCGGTAACGTCAAAATACTTAATCCAATTTCGCTTTTACTCAGTTCAGAGTTTATTTTAAAAAGATCGACACTAATTGGGTTAAAAACGTGTCAATAGTATAAAAACAGACATATATCGGATATTAGCCCAATACAATCGACTTATACCTCAATCAATTCGCTATTTATTGTCGAATTATGAATATTTAGTAGCAATCGATGCCAATATTGACGTCACAATTTAACATCCTAACAGCTGAAGACGAACGCAATTGATAAATTTTGAATACAATGGTCTATATTCAGATCTAGGGTATAGTAATCGAAAACAAATGTGACTCTCGTGACATTATTGTGAGTGATCGTCAATGGAGTTGACAGTATAAAGCCGACGATGCCCACAGAAAGAGGCTGGTATACTCGTAGTGCCGATGTTAAGCCTGTTTCATACCTGTGCAAGTGACCACAAACTACACTTTTCAGTTGTGTCTTTACCTTCATTATGTGTACTGGCTGTCAAATTTTCAGTTTTGACGTGTTGGTCCCAAAAGCGTAATTGACGAAATAGGAAATCTATACACCGGAAGTGATCAGATACGCGACTATGGACATGGAATGCAAATAGATACTTTGAAAGTGAATGTAGATAAATGGAACGAGGGATATCGACAAACCGGAAGTTATAAGTGACTCGATAGCATGTCCATCAAGACCTATAAAAATACTTCGTCTTGTATTGTACATGAAATAAAAGGAAGATAAATCGCACAGACATAATAGAAGACAAAACGGAAATGAAAACAAGCCCGACCGATGCTGATAAAACCTTTTGTAATGACAATGTTAGATTAACCGAACACACACAATAGCAGACAGACTGAAGCGGTAAGCTAGACGACAGTAACCATTCCAAATGAATACGAAATGTCTAGATGGCGTGTTTTGCGTTCATCCCTAATGTCGTAGAATGGTACCAGCCTACAAGCACAGTTCTACATTACACTGGAAGTCTTGGTTGGTTCGACAAATAGTGCTCCATTCCAAGGCCTTATTTCTTATCTTTGGGGTGGTCCTTGGGAGTAGTTTAGGGGTCATGTTACTTAGCCTAGAACATCTTCCTGCTGGCGACACTGTTGTACAATACAGCACACGGACTGGTATAGACTCTGCAGTTCAAAATTGGGATTTTTCCCACTCTGAAACCAGAAATGCTAATCCGGAAGTTTACCAAAGATATCACACAGCTGTATTTGGATATCCATACACTTCCGGTAAGTCATCATCGGCACAAAGAGCACCACTTCTTTGCAATTCCACTCGTCCTTTAGGTTTTAGATTTAAGGCCAAATATATCCAGTATATTCCATTGCAGTATTCTGGTATCGAAATTCTGTCAGTCAAAGCAAGGTTGTCGACAGCTGTTGTATAGTACATTAGAATTAGGTCACAGTCGGCTTAAATGATGAAATAAAACTTTGTTCTTGAAGACAAATGAAAACAAGAGCGAGGGTATAGGGGCATTTCAGGGCATCAGCAGTTGAGTGAACTGTAACCTGTATAGCATGACATTAGGATTATTATACCGGTCACTATGCAAAATACACCTCATTAATACACTATGATGTATGTGAACCAACTTTTTCATTTGCATTTTAGACAACAGAACGATAGCGGACAAGTTGGAGTCGACGATACGGATAGTGTGTTGGGTATGGTGCTCTGGAAGGGACATTTACAATCAAACAGTGGCCATTCGTAAAACTTGGGGACGAAAATGTGATAAATTGATCATTTTTACAGATGTTCAATTTGTTGGTATCGATACTATCGATTTAGTACGTGCAGATGTGACTTATAGTAAATCCCGTTACATTATGGCATACCGATACGTCTATAAACACTATAAGGACTACGGCGATTGGTTCTTCGGGACATTTGATGAAACTTACGTGTGCATGGAGAACCTAAGACTATTTCTATCACAAAAGAACCCGAGAGAACCGTTTTATTACGGACATAAATTGTATCTAAAAGATAAAAATCTTGAATTTGTTGACGCTCGAGTTGGTTGTGTCCTCAGCAAGGATGCTTTAAGGAAACTTGGCACTACCGGTACAAAGTTAAAAGAATGCAACGAAATGGAACCTGCGGGTGAAAAACAGCTCGGAGCATGTTTAAACAATTTAGGAGTAATGAGAGGGAACTCTACGGATGTCCGAGGACGGACGTTGTTCCTGAGTTTCCCGCCCGCCTTACAGATGCAAGGTTTACAATCAGATTGGTTTATGGAACAAGACTTAGAAGGAAAACAACAGGTTTGTAAATTGATTAAGAAATCAAATGGAATTCCGACTTCAATCAAAAGAAAATACAGTAATAATAACTTGGAATTATTATATAGCCTACATAGTTTCAAAAAAATGATAACAATCTAGAAAATTAGAAAGTCCTCATCAACTGTGGTTAAAGCAGTTCAATTTTATGTGATTAGAGTGAATGTTGTTTTCATTTTGAAGCTCTATCAGCTAATAAACCAAATATGTAACAGTTCCCTTTTACCTAACTGGTAAAAAACACTTATTTACTTTTTAAAATAAGATTTTTCTTATTTCAGGGAGTAGATTCTATCAGCCGTTATGCTATTACATTTAGTGGAATGACAGCGTTTTTTATGTATGGAATAGACTGTTATTTGTTTCACATGAGACCATTTGGAGTATTTCCACGAGAACCGGAAATACAGAACATAATAGCCACTGACTACAGTAATCGAACGCTAAAATTCCAAGAAAGACTACCTCCATAATTGATGGTAATCGTATCAAACGCATCTACCGTATCACAAAAGACAGTCGAACTGAGATAACATTAGCGAAGGTTCTGTTCAATGCGCAACTGTTAAAGGTAAAAGATTCACAGTGTAAAGAACTATCTATAATGATAAAAAGTATCACAGATATAAAGAATATCATGAATTGTAAACAACCGTCATAAAAATGACATGTTATAAAGCCTATTTCAAAGTATGTGATGTTTAAAGGCTATCACAAAGTACGTGATAAAGACAATCACCGAGTCCGTGATAAAAAATTGAAAAACTACCACTCATTAAGACTGCATCAATTATAAAGATCATTCAAAGAGTATCTAAACAAGTATATAAGTAGCTAGAAAATAAAGAGAATCACAATGTAAAAAGTATCACAAATTTATTAATAAAGAGTATCACAAATATAAAGAGTATTACAATATAAAGAGAATCGCAATATAAAGAGTATGACAAGGCGCACAGACTTATTAAGACAGAGAGGTCGAGTTAATTGAAAATTCTAGAAAAATAACTTAACGGAAATTAATAAAATAATTCACTTTGTCAATAAAGAATTTGTTCCATCATCGGCCTGTAATTTGGAAGAATGAAAAGTAAAGGCAACCAAATATTATACAAAGAGTCACAATATAAAGAATCTTACAAATTCACAAATATCAAGATTATCACATTATAAAGATTATTAAAAATAGATTATAAATATATTAAGAATACCACTTATATAAAGAATATCACACATTTTCAAAATTATATAAAGGCATAACACATATATACAGTATCACTAATATATAAAGGCATCAAATATGTAAGGAAAATTATTACAAAAAGATCACCACTCACAAATACAGTGAGAATCGGATATATAAACTGCATTGCGAATACAAAAGTAACACACATTTAAGCATTATCACAAATATAAAGATATCAAAACTATTAATATCTATTCCAAATTCACCCAAAATCTATTAACAATCAACCTCAGGTCTATTCCCAATTAGCCCTTTCACAATTCACTCACAATCTGTTTCCAATTCGACCTTTTTGAAAAAATGAAACCGCGATCTTTTTAGGAAAGAAGAATAATTTGGGATCGAATTGGAAAGGGGAATATACCAGCAACCGAAGTTCCCAGGAAAGAAAGTGACACTTGCAATTCGATCTTGGATGCAAGAGCGTTAGCCTCTTATCTTATCAAGACGAACCTAGATTCAGTTCATAGATAAGATTTCGTTGACCTTCAATATTCCAGTTGTTGGCAGACTACAAGACGAAGTCAGGGCATCACAATGGCGACAGTTTTCGTCTTTCTCTTGACGATTGTTAGTGGGGTTTTCAGTGAACACACTAAACTAGAATGGACAGATTGCGGTGAGTAAACAGTACCTGATACATACTAGACCAAATATTTACTTTCTGCACTGATTTGGACTAAATTTTAGCTATATATGTACTTTTTAAATGTTAATCATACGGTTTGTTTGAATTATGACAAACGTACCACCTGATGTTCCCAGGACATTCTTAATGTTCCCACTTCATATAATGTAAGTAAGTTTATTTCCGGCAAGAAATCCATGGCCTCGGAATGTTGCGTTCACTCTTATAGTTCTATTTTGCAGGCACCGACCCAGCATATTTCACCATAAATAAAGTAGATGTATCACCCATGCCAATTGAGGTACCGGGTGACATAGCTCTGACGGTGGGTGCTGTCTCTAATAAAACTGTCACCCAAGGTGACATCAAGATATCTGTCAAGAGACACACTTTCATCGGTGATATCACAATACCCTGTTTGTTTCATGTTGGTTCTTGGTAAGATTCGTTTCGTTTTATGTTGATTCTTGGCAAGATCCGTTTATTTCATGTGGTTATTGGTACCAGAATTTCGTTTATATTTTAGCACCATTTTGTTAATAATTCATTTCTGATATTCAAATAAAACCTTTTTCGGTAATTGCTATTTTCGTATGTGTTTACAGTGAGTACAAAGATACATGTACCTTATTGGATAGAATGGAAAAGGAGAACTGGGCTGGTATCATGGGCGGAATCGGAACCCAGGTCCGAGGACTGTTGTCATCTATTGGTATAACCTCATTCTGCAATATTCAAGCCAGATCTCTGGACGTTCAGAGTTATAAACTTAAACTACCACCTATACCATCTATCCTGTCGTTCTTTGCTGAGGTCAGTATATATACATAGTTATAAAATGAAGTTTTACATCGGATCGTAATAGAATGTAACATAAACATATCTAGATACAAAGGTGCTGATACATTCGGCTGCTATATTTACCGCCATTTTGTATCCAAGTTCTTGTACACGACATCAAAAGAAAGGGGTCAATAGTGTTTTATACGATTGTGGTGCCAATGTATCCAATGTACCATGATGTACAATGTAATAAATGTACAATGTGCCAATACAAACTACAACGTGCGATTGCGTATTTAGCATGTTAGGTATTTGTCATTTCCCAGCCTATGGTAGTTTCTGACGCCCAGACTATACAATGTCATGTCTACGACATTTCTGTTACAATGCTTTCAAGGGAGATAACAGCAATTAAGCATCTATCTACAAGTCTAAAACGACTTGTTTAAACGAACAAATACCCAAAAGTTTTGTCAGTTTATATTTCATATTTTTATCCGGAGATGTTATATATTACGTTATATCAAATGTTCAGCTTTGTAGCTTTGTAACTTTTCAAGATACAAATTTATTTGGATATGAGCACTTTTAGTGCAGTATTCCATTTGAACTGGAAATACCCCATTTTCTCTGTGTAATTTGTTTTTATTTGGGTTTCATCTGTTTTTCTCAGTCCCTGGGGTCTAATAGTAAATTTGGTTGGGTTATTTAGCAAAGTTATGATGTGCCACCGTGTATAATGTGCCAACGTGTATAATGCGCCAACGTGTATAACGTCTTTGTGCGTTTCAGGGAGACTATTCAGCACACGTAACCGCAACAGAAGCCGCTTCAGGCCATCAAGTAGCATGCTTGGATTTGAAGTTGTCTATCAAGAAACACAAAGACAAGACCTGTACAGGCTGGTTTTGTGGCAGAAGAAGAGATCTTCATTAAGAAAAGCAAGATTAAATCATTTCGTCGATATGATTTTTTTTTATATCAAAAGGATATAGAGTAGCCTAAACATTGGCTTTGTTGGCTGCCGGCGCCACCTTACAGAATTAAAATCCGACGCTAATTTCGACTGTAACTTAACACAAACGAATCATGTTTTGCCGGTCGTCACATACGAGCCGTGTTATCGGCAATATTAGCACGGCTCAGTCTAAACCACCTTTTTATTGAATGTTAAGACATCGTGGTTTGGATTTAAATTCGGAAAAGTGATAGAGATAGCCGAAATCAGGTTTTAAAAGGTAGCAAAGCAATATTGTAAACGGCTTATGCCGCTATATCCCTCGACAGAAACTTTATTGTTTATAAATAATGTAAAAAAAAAACATAAATTTGTTCAGGTCTGCTCAATTCAACTTAATCTCCATGACCACTAATTCAACTGACATAGATAAAAGCGATCGATCGAAAAAAATATATATATCAGATGCCAACAAATAGATACAATGACTCTTAGGTTAAAAATATTGTATCTTGTTTAACGCGTTATTCATGCTTTTTCGATTTACTACTGCGTCGTTTTTTGTCTTTGCTGCTCCGCTTTGTTAAGCCTTTCGAAACAACATGATACCGCAGAAAGGCCTTCATGGCATTATAGCCCCTCTGAAATAAAAAACAATATGGGGTTACAGTGGTTTGGCATAAAATCTTTGAACTAAGAGGCTGTAATTGAGATAACTACATCTTGACTGGTATTTTCGTCCTGCACTGCAATTTTTATAAAGGGATACGAATAGCTATAATTTAGTTCCATCATATGAAGCAGTGCATACAGTATTAAGTGCACGATAAAGGTTTTTAAAAAATTGAAAATATCTTTGAAACTTACCGCCTCTAAAAAATCAACATCAGCCAGCTCCATATTGAAGTCGATCGTGTTAACGTGGCCAGTATTAATTCCCACTGTTCGATCTAAATCAGTATACTAAAATAAAGCAATTATACGCATACACTGTCAATTGTTCATCTAGCTAGCAGATTATGATATGGGACTATGTGTGTCCATCTAGCTAGCAGATTGTGATATGGGACTATGTGTGTCCATCTAGCTAGCAGATTGTGATATGGGACTATGTGTGTCCAATCATATCCATCTGGCTACCGGCTTAAGATATGGGACTATGTGTGTCCAATCATGTCGATCTAGCCAGCAGATGGTGATATGGGACTGTGTGCAATATCATATGAAATGGTCCATCTAGCTAGCAGAATGTGATACGGTACTGCGATTCCAATCATGCCCATCTGGCTATCAGGATGTGCTATGGAAATGCGTGCCCAATCATTGCCGAATAGGTGGCAGACTGTGACATGGGAATGTCTGTCAAATCATGTACATCTAGCTAGCAGGATGTGAAACGAGACTGTGTGTCCAATCATATCCATCTAGTTAGCAGATTGCGTTATGGCACTATCGTGTCCCCACTTGGCAGCAGATTGTAGTATAAAACTATCATGACCAACTAGTTGGCAGATTCTGAAATGAAACTAGCGGTCCCTTCAAGTTAGCAGATTGTGATATGAAACTATCGTGTTCAACTAATTTGCTGATTGTGGTATCAAATAATCGTTTCCAACTAGTTAGCAGATTGTGATATGAAACTATTGTGTCCAACTATCTACAAAAATGTGTCTACGTTTTCATACACCTTATATCGGCCCCATCGCTGATGTATAAATCGCGGTTTCTTTTTCAAAACGCATCAGAAATAAATTTTAAAAAAAGGGGTAACATACATTCATATTGACTCGCTTCAAATTCAATAAAACGGCATCTTGAATTCTGCATACAAATTGAGCTAGCCCATTTACTTCTTGGCGGAAGTAACCTTGGAAGCAGTTTTGTAAACAAATACCAGTTCTCTGAATAAATTCTAGAAGTTCGTCAAACTCAATCTGAAACAAGGTAGGAAAGTGATCCGAAAGATAAGTGTTCAACGTTTCTCAATACGACCAATGATAAATGAGTAAATCGCTTTCCTATGCCAAGCCATTCAAGATCTTACATCTTGTTTACTACCGGTAAAAGCATACGTAATTATCGCTGATTTATTCAATAACAATTTCTGGTCGCCTTCTTCTCTTTTTACTCAGATTTGATTAAGCTATTTAGTGATACGTTCACACATTTCAGCTCATTTTATCAAGTGACGTCACGATCAAACGAGGAGTGATTAAGTGTATTACGTGGCTGACTCGTGCTATCTTGACAAATCATTGTGGTACATCGTCACATCTTACCTCCCCATTGTTATCTTTATCGATCACTTCAAAAGCTTCTTCAGCAGTCATAATTTTCCCAAATAAAATCTTGCAATCATGAGCTGTAAAAATTTCATCCTACAAAATTTAAACGAAATCGAGTTTTATGTCCTACCTTTGCTGCCAGTTAAACCGATTCCCATTTTTTTGGCATTTCTATCACCCCAGTATCAAATTACCTATTGCGTTCTTAAATTCCTCGTTTGCCCTTTGAAACTTCTGTGACTCCTCCCCTATGACCCCTCCACCTAATGAGTCATAGAAACACCACAGTGTCATGCGGTGTACCATAAGAGAATAATTCAGTGCAGGACGGTTAGATATTTTGTCCAATGTGTCAAAGTATCGTCTCAAACGCAGCTTGTATATTTTTAAACAATACTTTTTAAAAAGTTTCAATTAAATTCGAATTACACCAACAATAATGAATCCAATGCATCCACGGCAGAGTTACATATATGTTACCCACCGTGGTATCTCGACTAGGGTATTATAAAAGTAACTTACATCTTCAAATACCTTTTTCAATTCTTCTAGATCAACGTTGTCTTTCTGGTTAATATTGTATTTCCTAATAGCCTGAAAAACCGCATAATAAAGCCGGGTATAATCATTCTGGGATTCTTAAGGTGATCCAAATTAATCAATACTGGGTTGTCTTCGGGATAACTACATTTAGAGATCTCAAAAAACACATTTTCGAAGCTGCATCTAGCCATTGGGACATCATACAATTAGTGCTAGACTTAAATGTTCTGTGAGTCGTTTAATGCTGATGAATATGGCGAACTGGTGAATGCAGCTGAAAATGATGAGGGTGGCCAAGATAATTATGGCCGCTGATGTTGACTCACTCATGATGCTATTTATAAACATAAGATGGAGTTCAACTTTTCAGCATCGGATTCGGCTGGTGAAGACACTGAATCATGACGTTAATGTGATGCTGAATCTGCACGACTATTATGAGTTTATGAGGATCTTAAATATAATGATATTGATAAAGAGGAATAAACAAAAATCAACATACCCGAAGAAAATTATCCACCGATCTGACAACCTTCGCATGAATTTTTTCTGCCTTTTTCTTCTTCAGCTTCTTTGTCATGTATTTTCTGCAATAGTCGTTTTAAATCTGATAAATAGGTTAAGAATAATTTTCAAATTGACCGTTGACCTGTGTACAAATTACCAAAGGCTCGTGTAATTGCATCATTAGCAGAACCTTGTAGTAACATCACAAGCAGAACCTTATAGTTGCATCACTAGTAGTTTCACCAGTTTGCCGCAAACTCAAGTTGTTACATTAGTTGACCACAAACTGGCGTGTTAGAATAGTTGGTTATAAACCCAAGAGATTGCGACTGTTCATTGCAAACTTAGTAGTTGCATCAGTTGACCGCAAACCAAAGCAGTTACACCCGGTAGGCCGCAACCCAAGTAGTTGCATTTGTTGGTCGCAAACTTAGTAGTTCCATCAGTTGACCACAAACGCTAGATGATACATAAGCCATAAGGTGCCCATAAATCCAGTGGTTGCAACCAATTGCAAACAAATCTTAGTTGCTTCTGTCTACAAAAAACTATAAAAGCGCTTACTTATAAAGCTTAGTATCCTCATCTGGTTTATCCGGCGCCAAAGCTCCCGCTCGGTTATCTAATTTTCCTTTCATCAAATCTTGTTCATAATCGGAATACTGTAAAAAAAGATTTATGCTGAAACATATTTTAAGGTATGTGTGTTTATCTAGTTCATCGATTTATCTAGAACAAAGATTTATCTAAGACAAGGATTTATCTAGGACATACATTTATCTAGGACATACATTTATCTAGGACATACATTTATCTAGGCTACAGATTCAACTCCAACATACTCTGTTTATCGAGTTTTCAAGGCCTTTACTTAGATTATATGTAGTCAATCAGGCCTCTACATGTGATTTGAAGGCTTAATTGAAATATGGAGTTTTATCTAGGATATACTGTATATAGCTTTATCTCGAGTATGTTTATATATATATATATATATATATATATATATATATATATATATAATAGGAGGATATATATACAAAATAGTATTATCTGGGCTATATATACGATTATCTACGATATATAAGTGTATCTACGATTTAGGTTTATCAATAATAAATAGGTTTATCTACGATATATTATAAAGGATTATCTGGAATATATCTAGTTTTATCTACGATATATCATAAAGGTTCATCTAAAATATATCTAGCTTTATCTACGATATATCATAAAGGTTTATCTAGAATATATCTAGGTTTATCTAGAAAAGGTTTATCTACGATATATTATGAAGGTTTATCTAGAATATGTCTGGGTTTATCTTCAATACATAATTTTCTAGATCTTATTATATAGGTTTATGGAGATATTTCTGTACAATAATAGTTCAGACTACATACCACTTCAAAACCGAGGGTATTTTCATTCACAGTTCCAAACCGAACAGAATTGTCGTATAAATGTGAAATATTGCTCAGTGGCTGGAATTTTTCAAAGAAACTATCCTCCGGATCCATAGACAGGAACCAGCCTTGAAAATGAAATAAAAAAAAGCTTACAAAAAGACATCGGACAAGCACTAACCACCGTGGACGTTCAATTTTCAATATTACTGGAAATGAGAATAACTACGAAAATGCGTTGGGTCAATCTTATGAATACCAAAGCACCAGAGCATAGTCGGGCATTCACATATCAAAGTCTAACTCAAACGGCTTCCGTGAAAGTAACGCTGCGCTCTGCAACATATCACGGTAATGAATGGCCGGTTTTTTTTTACCAGAACTATGTCAATATTGCCACGTGATCACGAAAATATTAGAGGCAGGTTGTTCATAAATACCAGTGTTTGTATACAAAGTCAATGAAAACAAAACATCAGAAAAATATGTATTCAAACATTATGTAACATAATATGTAAGTGTCAGAATTATCTCCTAAAGTCTCTTTAAGGAATATAAATATTGGGCTCTCAATAATACTATCAATAGACAAATCACTGCTAAATACCGGAAGTAAAGAATCTCACCCAAGAAGACACACTGGAATTCACCATTCATTACCCAGTCAGATTCAGTTTACGGAAACTGTCGAGTGAGTCTCATTAAACTTAGTCCCTACTTTCGTTTGGTTTTTTACATTTGTTTTTATTTTAGTTTAGCCACTTCATACTTCCTACTGTGAAGTGGCTATTTAAAAACTAATTAAATAAAACGAAACGAAAGTTGGATCTAATTTTAATAAGATTGCACATATCATAGCTCATATTGGAATAAGTTGTTTGAGTAAATAGTCTTGTCTTCGCCAAATACCCAAATACGTGTGACGTCACTAATGCCTAATTGCCTATATAGCTTTAACATGAGGTTATTTTGTGACATACACGAGAGTATAAAGCGTGGGTAAGTGTCCGCGAACTTGGCCTGGTGGTTAGTTGTACAAGTGAATAAGAAAACTCGACGATTATATCCCTTTCATCCTTACCGTCGAAGCAATGTATTGGATAGTTACAGAGCAAACCACCATCCACATATACATCAGTTTCTCCCATATTGGTTATTTTAACCGCTTGGAAATATCCTGTAATATTAAAATAACAAGAGTCAAGAGTAGACCGAAACAGCCACCGCTATTCCAGCCTCTGGTATGGTCATCAAAACTTGACCCTGTTTTGTGTGGATAAGAACTTGAATGAGAGTTGTTGGAGACGCGGATAAATATTGACAGCTCGCTAAGCTTACAGTAGTTTAGTAAAAATTTGAATAGGATTCTTAAGCGAAGGCACGTGATAAGGGGTGATGGACTGAAAAACATTTTGCAAAATCTTTTGCCAAGCGCCGACCGAAGACAATAAGCCAGTTTCGCATTGCGGAAGTGCGTACATTTTCAAGGGAGGTAATTCAATGAAGACAAAACGTCATTGCTGATAAAACCAACGTGATACTGCAATATGGAGAAGTAAAGAAAACGACGTTATTGATGTTCTAACAAATGCAAAACATCGAAACGCGATTTAATTAGTAGAGTGAGTGGTAATTTGACTTGTTTATCTTCCCCACAGTCCCACCGAGTGTTATCCTGATGTACCGGAAGTACTCGGAACTTCGGACTGGCTCATTTGAGTGTGGGTAGGAAGCAGATTTCTGTTACGGTATTTGCTTTACCTGGTAAGGACATGGACATACACACAGCTTGTCTGACGGGTAAACTGGGCGTGGTCTTTACGTGACAATACGTCGCAACCATATGGTTTACATTTGTTACACATATACACAGCTCCTTTCCTGTCATCTTGTACAACTATTGAAATAAACATTAGATTTCTTAAGAGTGTACGAATATAAACCCACTACGACATTTTGCGCCGCGATAACTGCGTCAATGACAATCTAATGAAAGACGGGCATTATGCAGTGTGCAATGTGAGACATTTTCAAGGATACACCATCAACCTACACTTTTTCGATTTCAAACTTGATGTGAAGTAGTCTTCAGAAGTACTAGAAATGTACGAAAATGTCTTTTCTAAGGCGTAGTTTCCAGAAAAGATGAGTCGTCATTTTAACTTCCAAACGTGGATATTCTGGACACAATTTAATGCACGAATTTGTGAACACTGGTCTATAAACACTATTACTGATTAGCTTAGCTAAAAATATTCCTGTTTCTGAGACTAAGGTACGATTGATCAAACGGATGGCGAATCTGCCCCTTTGACAGTTTGGCAAACCTTTAATATTGAATCATGGTTGAAATACGTCGATCGGACGAACGAAGAACAGCACAGAGTGATTTTACCTGTTTAAATGTGATGTCAGCATCACCAGTTTTCGCTGCGAAGTGTTCTCCCATGACGGTATACAACTTTGTCGTTGGTTTCCAGCCATACGTTCGAAGCATATTCGGTAGCAGATTTAATACTCCCATAGGATTCGCTGAAAGGAAGTGGTAATGAGCCTTTTCAAAAAAGCACTAAGCGAAACTGAAACAGGCGTTAGTATTTGTGCAAGATTATAGGAAGTAAATTAAGGGACACTAGTGTCATCAATTTGCACCATATCAATTTTCAGACGTCTGTGGTTTTTGCAATAGCAACAGCACGAAAACAAAGAAAAATACAGGTAAAATTCGTTGGAAAATTTCGGGCAAACCAGTCTGCCCCCTAACAGACCCGTACAATCAAACTATATTTATTAATGTTAATAATGCGAACTAAACTCCCAGCTCATGGATCGTTGATGGATCAAAGTCTTAAAGTCGCAAGCTCCAACAGCCTTTTAAATAAATAAATCATTGAAGATGATCTTTGACCACTCTACTTACAGTTTAAGATTGACGAAATAAAACTTGGCTCTACGAATTCTGCTATCTCGTCAGCTCTATATCCCACGGCAAGGTAGGCCACCATCATGGCGCCAGCACTGGTTCCAGCATATCGTTTGATCTGTTTATCTAGTTTCAGCTCTTCTAAGTACTACAGTAGGCAAATTTATAATACCAAAAAAAACTCAACGGCGGAAGTGACGTCAATCTCAACCACTGGGCTATTGTTAACATTGTCCCCATATTCCCAACCCAAAGCTATTACGTCTTATACCTTGACTGTAATAGCCACCTTTCTTGTATCACGGAATGCAGAGACTTGATTACGCTAGCCAATACATTATGGCATTGTATACAGACTTTCTGTTGAGTATTCGGATTGGATAATCCCTGTATTTACAAACTTCCGTGATACAATAAAGATGGCTAATGCAGTCAATTTATAAGACGAAGTTCGTAATAGCTTGACATTATGAAGATGCAGTAAGAAATCTGATGTCGCAATGTTCCGTATTTCTATTTCATAACTTAACCACTCAAGTAAGGATCTAACAACTCTCTTCTAACTTATTTCTTCGTATGAACAAACTTTGCCCTAACCAAGTGACCTCTGATTTACCCAGACTTGATAAACCATTGCTCCTCGGAATACACCTTTCGTTCGCGTCACATAATCCCAGCGCTTGAGAGGGAAAAAATTTGATAGACCTATCTATAGAGTGAAACACTAAAATAAACTGAACGAAAGCTTGGTGTAATTACAGTTTTGATCTCCTCAGATGGCGATTCTGTACAAAACGACATTCATGGAAGCTTTCCTATATAATTCCTACATAATCAGTGTTCATGGAGTATCAAGAGTTATAAACTACGCTACTATTACACCCTCGATGAATAAAAATTGTTTTTTAAGACTGTGTGCGTAGTTCTTTTATAAATTTTTGACTCACCCTTATGGCCCCAACGTAAGCAGCACCTTTCATCCCGCCCCCTTCAAACACAAGGTTTTCAAAACAGTAGTCATACTTTTTGGGGTCAATTTTCAAATACTGAGACTGAGATTCCTTTTCTGAGAGGTCAAAGTCCACCTCTGTAAGTTGGAGAGCCTCCTCTTCCTCGACTGAAAGTTGATTCCTGACAAACAGTTCACGATTTTTTTTTTCTTCTGCCGCTTTGTTTTCAGCTAAAACTGATGCTTCGATTCCCATTCTGTTTGATTCTGAATCAAATTAAAACATTTTTTAGTCTTTCTGACGACTTTGATTGACTGTATTCGCTATCATACAATCCTATCAAATCTTTGCATCAAGCTGTGCACGGCAAAGAAAAGGGAACGCTAATATCACTGACCTGGCTAATTTTCCCCATTGCACACTGTATTCAGGTCAGGTGCAGAAAAGCAGGACGTAACGGTAAATTTAATTTATTTCATTTTGCTTCATGCCATTGAACGTTGAATTAAATGTTCTGGGGAGGCTTTGTTAGTAGATATATAAATTATCGGACTATACACCAAAGATGTTGAAATTTCTTTCAAATCAAATTGTCCGTTTCAGGCGTTGGCATTCTGTTGAACAAAGTGGTTTATCCATGCTGTTCTAGTTGCTTTTTCGCTATTAACCGACACTTCCGTTTACCCATCATGCTCAGTAAGAAAAATTTTAGGCACCATGATTAGGCCCAGAGCACACCTTCAATTAATCACATGTATTCATTTTTGACGTTTTCTCTTTTTTTATGTTTTATCTGGTGAATAAAAGCGGATGCGCCAAAATGAATAGGCCTGTATGTACCTAGGCCTAATAATTAATTCTAAAAAAATGTGCCCAAATCCCTGTGTCTAAACTAATGTAAGCTTATATGAATAATTGAAGATGTGCCTAATTAACGTCTGTCTAAATGACCGAGTGCCTAGGAAAAGTATGCCTGATGTCTATTTAACAAACTTAACAAACTACCGGGTATAAGTAAGCTTATAAGGCCTAGGCTATGGCAATTGGTTTACACGGCCACGGGGCTTAAGTTTCTTAAGTTTTATCTTTATACATTTCTTAGTTCAAGTGGATGCAGGTCCCATATCGATGGTCTTCTGCTTGCTCTTCAAATTTAGTTGTTTTAATAAGGGTTTCACAAGCCTGCCACAACAGGGGAATAGGCCTAACTTGTCTATTCCTAGAGATCTTTAATCCATAAACACATCTTTTCACCATACCTGAAATCCCTGAAAGTCGTGACAAAAAAACGGCAATAGTCAGACAACTTGTCTAGAACCTTCATCCACGTGTTTGGGATGACGTGATTTAGAGATATATTTAGGATTAGGGTGGCGATTATATGTTGAAATATGTTGAACATGGTCCAACTGTCTTTAGATTTAGAGGGTCTTTTTTTAGTCTTGAGGGCCTTGAGGTTTAGTTTTGTTTATTAAAGTTTAGTTTTCGTGTATCATTTAGCGCTTTATATGGCCTGGACGGACTGGATTACCGGTACCGCAGTTTCTGTGTTTTAACTGCGCATGGGTTAACGGAAGTCCCGGTAAAATATCGAGAAATAAATTAGACCGGTTCACGGCTAAAAATGTTTAATATCCACTGCGTTTCTCGAATATAATAGAGTGCAGCTGCCTTTGGGGCTTTTGGGTCTTTGTTAAGGGGGTCAAAGCCGACACTAAGGCCAACTTTTGAAAGCACTGACAGAGGCATCTGAATTTTTCTTACCTTGAGGAGGATTCGAACCTACGGCACCTAATCGCCTAGCAGGCGAACCATTTTAAAAAGACAAATCACCAATCTTAGAAGTTTTCAATTTCAGTCGGAATGGCGGATGTTTACGTAACTACGGAATCACCTGACCAAAGTGACGTCAGCGCTAAACCGACGTCATGTTGACGTTAGCGACTTGAGAGTTTTTTCATTTTTAATAACAGATCATAATATAAAAATTATAATAAACTCAATCGTATCTACTGCGGCCATTGTCTGACAATAACCTCGTATGCAGCAGGGAGAAAATCTTCGTTAATTGTCAGGCGCAAGTTACATAGGCTAGTTCGTTAGAAGCTAGTTATCTCCTTTGAAGATTAGCTCGTCGAAGACTGAAGTCAGGGTGTCAGGGACTAGTCAGATGTCAACAATGGAGAGGCGAGAGGCGTAGCGAGAGTGGCCACCGCAGATACGATTGAAAATAAACTGTGTCCTACTAAAATTATTGAATAAAGTAAAAAGACAAAGTCTTTCTTCTACTTTCACATTTTAAATAATGAGGCAATTTTCGCATACTTGCAATGCTTCTTCAGGCCAGGATAAAGAAAAAAACTGGAGGTTACAGGCTACATATCGGGTCGACATACGCATGAGTAGACTGAGTAGAGAAGAATATAGGCTCTTGTCGACGTTCTGGCAAAATATTATTTATTGTATGCTACACGGCATATGGCGTTGTCCGTCCTCATTAACACAAAAAGGTAAGGCTGCAGAGAAGTAAGTAAGATGTAAAACCCAATTTGACTCAGGGATGGGAAAACTCTTAAATCTGTAATAATTCACGAGTTATTTCCCTTTAAACGTTCTACCGATTGATTTTTACGAGTTTAAAATTTTAGTCTTTTTCCGAATCAATAAAATTTGTAACAAATGAAATTGTTTGGCTTCACTAAATCTTTTTATCTGTGGTTTTGCTGTGAGAGAACATGGTACTGATGTGCATTCATCCGCTCAAAAGTGCATTTTATTTCTGAATAGAAAAAAATGGCGTTCTATGGTTTAAAAAAGAAAGAACATGTCCCCCCCCCCCTTTTAGTTTCTTTCAGGGGGGTACTTTATTTCACTTTATTCATTCAATTGACCACTATAGTTCGTAGATATATAAATGAATATAATCGATAATCGTGATCGATATGCATCTATTAGGAAATTGGCCGACGATGATCTCTGGCATTATCTGGGTATCAATATATTGCACATTGGAGGTAGCTCCAAGAGATGTCAATAGATAATTGTAGGCCTATTTCATGTTGCCCAAATAGTTTGAACGATAATCGCAATAATCATTATATCATTATTCAGGGTCAGGGAAGAATAACTAATGTATATTTCCATTTAATTGTCGTTTCAATCTTCAAAAACACAGTTCCCTTGTCCTACAAATTGACCTTAAAATATATCTGCGACAGAAAAAGTTTCATACCTCGGACCCTATACAGATAATCTTGAACCTTAAATTCGCTGGAAAATCGCGTTTGCGGGAGGGGAGGGGGGATAAATAATCTGTCCCCCTTGATTGGACGTTTGACCGCCCAAAAGGACTTTATAGCTGGCTACGGGCCTGCCCCTTCTACCAGTACCCCAAAAAGATGTGTCCCTCCTGTTTGCAAAACGGATCACCGCCCCTGACCGTGTCATAAGTAAATATGACATGCATAATAATATAACACTTTAAGCATGCAATTCAACACTTTTTACAACCAAATTAACACTTCAAATTCTATAAATTTTGTCAAGTATTTGAATTGCAAAAAAAAATAATGATAAAATTTATGAAACAATAAAATAAATTTATTGTCGTTTTATTGCAAATATTGTGACCTAATGAAGCATATGGAAATAAAGCGAAAGAATACTAGTTAATTCTGTTCCAGCTCGTCTAAACAAAATACCCCCTTAAAGTTTGACACTCATAAAAGTTATAAAAAATAACATTTGTGTCATTTTTATATTATGTTTATCTGTAACAGTGCAATAATGCTCACCTTTAATAAAGTAGGTTATAAAACGTCATATTGACGTCATTAACTCTGCACGCGCTGATTGTTTGCTATGACGTCAGATGTAATTTACGTCATTGTTTCTGCCGGTTTATGTTTTACTATGTAATTTTTGATGCTGGAGGGCGGGAGTTTTATTTTTTTAAATGCCTATTAATTCTTTTGTATTTCATTCATGCACATTGGAGTGTCAATTGGTGTGAGAAAAATACTTTGATACTAATCTTATTACAATACAGAAATAGATAGACAATTCAAAGAAAAAAAAACATCTATCTTTTACAAGGTTAACAACTGTGATTCAGATTTTGATTCTTTCTGTCAGCTGGTTCTTGGTCAAATCTCTTGGCATTGATCTTATCCGTACCCATTTACAGCTTGGTTGACTGGAATTATGACGTTATGACTGTAAAGAACCCACACTCTAACCGACTATGCTAACCCAACAAAGAACCCACGCTCTAACCGTCTATTAGACGTTATTAGATGTTACTTCTGTGAGCAGTGAGAGGTATAACAATAATAATAATCATATTTTATTTTCTTACTGTCCCAAAAGGCGAATAAGAAGTTTCCAATCTTAGTTTCACTTTCGATAGGCTATCTGGGGACATCGTTTTCATGCTGATACGAATTGGGGACAGATACAAAATCTGCACTTAGTTAGCTGGAAGTGAACGTGCACTTGTCATCTACAAACAACTAATGTTACTTGTCATGTACCAACCATGCCGCATCAATCCAACCAGAAGGTAAAAACAGCTCGAAGATTGCTTTAAATTGAACTAACCTAAGGTATAATACGAAAATACATTATGATTTTTTTTTAATTTTTGACAAATTAATTCATAACAGTGTCTTTAGTCACGTTGCAGATACCCCACACCCTCTTTAAACCACGTCATCTGTCAATATTAGAATGATGACGTAATCAAATAGGAATTTCAATAATCAAGATGGCCGCTGAGTGATGTTAAGACCAGTTAACTAGATAATAAGTAGTTAATACTCCTGCTGACCTGTAATTAATGACCCGGAAGTACTTGTTAACATCCTAGCATTATGTCACAATATATACCGGATGTTGTTCAAAAACCAAACGAGATTTGACTTTGATAGAATGATAAGCCTTAGCGAGCACTTTAGAGTCGTGTTTGTCAAAATTATTCATCTTGATATGCTCGTTTTTACCCTGCAGTTTGACATTTTGATATCAAGATCATGGGAAACGAATGTCCAAATCTTAATTGGGCTATTTCAAGGAGTTAAACGCTATTTAACTCACGGCCCAGCAGCAATTTTAATAACTTTTGGTCGATAGTTTACTACTCTTACATTTTCCGGCTTAGTCAAGGAAACTGACATTCAAAAAAATCTATTCCCATAGTCATCTACGCTGAAGATGTCTCTTCAGAGAGGGCACAATGGCCTTCATTGCTCAGAGTTAAGGTGTTATCCATGTATATGAGTCATGCAGAAGTGAGGACGTAAAATCATTTCCAAGGGTCATGGTATTTCACACCTGTTCCTGCCCGATGTGGCGTTCGATTGGTAAGTTCTGAACATGTTCCCCCTGTACCAATTCTGGTCTCAATTGAACGATACAGAATCCATTTCTTTCTCCGCCAGTTTGAATTCGGTCGACGCCTATATTTTCGGCACATTATGGACGCATTAGGTAAAACCTGTTCCAACTTGTTGGACTTACTGGACTTCCGATTGATCCTATGAATCATGGAGGTGACAAACTCTTCCAATCAAGCGAACCCCTCAACAGGTATCTAATTATATCCCTTGACAGTCGCTATTCGGTAGCCTACAATAAAGATATGGCATGATACTTAAATATCATTTATATTTGATTATCGGTGATCATTATTAATACATAATATAATGATGATATATTCGCTATATAGTCGTGTCTCTGGTGCGATCCCTACAGATTATCATCACCCTAGGTTAGATCGCAAATTCTTCTGTTTCCACATAAATGTTTTTGGTGATTTCAAATTTGTGTTTATCACACTGGGTCAGCCTACGAATTCACTAGCACATCGAATATTTTTCATTGCACAAACTGCCTTTGGCGGAATTTTGTACACCGAACATAAAATAAACAAGTCGGTTGTCTTTTTGGCGCGAAATTTCAATTCAGCTCTATAAATCAATCATCACCAGACGATCGGAAATAAATCAACAATAAAAAACTGTAAACAAAGACAACAAATGAATATACAATCAATAATACATCCTTTATAATTTATAAGACAGTAGTATAATATCTTGCTTCATCCCACCCCCCCCC